CACACGCCTTTAATCCCAGCACTTGGTAGAAGAGCTGTGTGTTCAAGAATACAGCCAGCATTGGAGACATACGCCTTTAAGACCTGGAGGGCTGTACTTACAGGCAGTGACAAGGCAGTCATGTGTTTGGGTTTACAACCAATGAGAAGGCAGAACAGAAAGACTATTTAAAGACATATACACAGGAAGTAGCTCTCTTTCAGGGAGGTAGCTCTGACCTCTTGGCTTTTTCTTTTACATTGGTTCTGTGTTTCTTATTTTAATAAGACAGTTGGTTACATCTACAACTTTGCTCAAACGCTAGACTATAATTGTTATGAACTGCATTATTTTTTTACCATACATAACAGTATTTTGTACTCATACAAAAACCTAATAGTTTAAAGAAAACAGACATTTAATCTTTTCCTACCATCATTTCTCAGCATAAATATCAAATCAGTGTATCTTCAGCTTGAATTATGTCTGAATTTGAAAATTTGCTCCATGAGTTGCTGATTTGAATTTAATATTAAAAGTCATTAATTGAATTTTGGCTTTGGATTAAGGCAGAATTTCCAACTACTTTTTAAATGGCCCTGAACATCCTGTATTCTGTACTACATATTCCTGTGAAGTTGATTTCTCATCACTGATAATTATAAAAGTAGAATATCCATTAACTCTAAAAACATAAAAGATGCTCTAATCCCAGAATCAGAATTTCAGCTAAGCTTTGATTCATCATATAAAAATAAAGATCCATCTCATCACATGAACTTAATTTTCTATTTAAAAATGGTAAAAGTTTATATATACAAAAAATTTTAACACATTTCTTTATAATTTATTATCAACAAATGTTTGATTTATATGACTATCTTACATACCAATAAATTTTCTTAGAAAAAATTAGACAGCTGGTGATAGTGGCACATGCCGTTAATTCCAGTACTTAAGAGGCAGAGGCATGGTCTACAAAGCAAGTCCCAGGACATCCTGAGCTATTACACAGAGAAACCCTGTCTTGAAAAACGAGAGAGAGAGAGAGAGAGAGAGAGAGAGAGAGAGAGAGAGAGAAAAGGAAAGAGAGAGACAGACAGACAAGGCAACTGAAAAAAGTTCAAAGAGCCACAGTCTCTGAAAAAAGCAGCAGATATGGCCAGAGCTGTGTGCCAATAGACTTGCATCTCTGGATAATTGCTAAAGCTTATGCTAGTAAAATGTGAAGATAAAAGCAGACCCCCAAATAAACAGGGCAAAGAAAGAATACCTAGGCTAATTTTTTATTTTGGTTTCGGTTCTTTAGTGAAACCAATTATATTACTTATTTAGTTATCAAGATTAACATTTGATCACATAAAAGAAAGACAATTTTTGTTTTAAACAGCTTAAGAAAAATAAACAGGTATAGCCCTCAATAGACAACATCATCAACAAAATCATACAAGGGACAGGGGTAATTCACAGAATTAAAATATATTTAAGATGTCTAGTTTTCAATGAAAACCATCATAAGACACACACACACACACACACATACACACACACACAGTATATACTCTATATATGAATGGGTGGCCCATTTTCATAAAAAAAAAAATTCATCCTTAAAGAATCTCAGACATTCTACATAAGAGACAAACATTCCAAACATTTTCAGAAGACACAGAAAAACAAATAAAAAAAAATACTTGGAGACTTAATGACAGAAAAATTGCAAATGTCAGTAAAAACAGAATTTTAAACAACCAAAATGGTCAATGAACACATTGTAGGACAAACAGTCAGAGAAATAATCAAACTGACAAAAGTCAGGGAGAATCTTCAAAGAACTGAAAAAGAAAGAACTCTTAATATATAACAAATCTTGAATAAGAATAGCAGCCCTATTTGTCATAT